CATGGTGGTGGTTCACTGATGTCGGGGGGGGGGGGAATGTAAGCTCTAAAAGGCACAGGGAATCTTGTAAAAATTGATGGCAAGATGAATACAGCATATTATCAGAAAATACTGGCAGACAATTTGCATTCTCCTGCACTTGCACTTTCCAGCACGACAATGACCCTAAGCACAAGGCCAAGCTGATCATCCAGTGGTTACAACAGAAAAAGGTGAAGGTCCTGGAGTGGCTATCACAGTCTCCTGACATTAATATCACCGAGCCACTCTGGGGAGATCTCAAACGTGCGGTTCATGCAAGACTAACAAAGACTTTGCATGACCTGGAGGCATTTTGCCAAGACAAATGGGAAGCTTTACCAGCTGCAAGAATTCGGGGCCTCAAACCATTATTACAGAAGACTACACGCTGTCATTGATGCTAAAGAGGGCAATACAAAAGCAGAACAAACGATGTGCAGATTTTTGAACAGGGGTCATTTTATTGGTTTACTTGTTGCCATGTTTTGTTTTATGATTGTGCCATTCTGTTATGACCTAAAGTTGAATATGAATCCCATAAGAAATAAAAGAAATATGTTTTGCCTGCTCACTCATGTTTTATTTATAAATGGTACATATTGTATAAATTCTCCAAGGGTATGCAAACATCTGATCACAACTGTATGAAAATGTAGAGGTTTACACCATGCCAGTCCTACGGAATGAGCTCAGATCTTCTTATGGTTGTGTTATACCTATGAGTACCTGTAAAGGAGATTTTAAACACTTTGAAATGTCACAGTGGATATGTAGAGGAGGCATGGGTAGCCTCACACAACCCAATCTGCCATCCACATGCAGTGTATCTGCTGCTTGGTCTACATGTGACAAGGTACGAAAAAAATCTCCACACAAAAAATACTTTCTTTTGGGCACACACAAACTGAGCAACTGGAGAACTTTAGATTTCTGGTGACTAGTTTCACTGAAAAATAAAAGTATACAGTACTACTACTGTGGTTTAGGACAGATAACTATTATCCTGTAAGTCAGAGTAAATAATGCTGAATCACAAGGGAATAGTTATCAGTTTAAAACAGATTGGTGACCGCCTGATGAAATGTTTCAGAAAGGAATGCTTCTCATCTGACTAAGCTAAAACATATTGAATCAACCAATAACACAGAAAATAAAGAACACAACCTGAATTACAGCCTGGTACACACAAGGTTTTGGTAGCCACAAAAAAAATCAGAGATGGCTGTGTGCACTGACTGGATGCGGGTCGGATGCTGTTTTTACAGCATGCCCATTCGACAGAAGCCAGTCGAACCTCTCGATTTCATCTGACTTCTAGCCGTGTATACACTTAAGGCACAAGCAGGAGAATAAATAGTAAATTTAATATGCTGCAATTAGTTAACCGTTAAATAGATGGAACCTAACAGGGCAAAAGAAAAAATCTACTTACTACAGTAACCAATTACAGTTCCTATTTGTGACATACAGTTGTGTTCAAAATAATAGCAGTGTGTTGAAAAAAGTGAATAAAGCTCAAAATCCTTCTAATAGCTTTTATTTCCATACACACAAATGCATTGGGAACACTACACATTCTATTCCAAATCAAAACATGAAGAAAAAAATATATCAAATTTGTGTTGTTCCTCTAAAAAAATTGAAGAAAAGTGAATATTAGACTGTTCAAAAAAATAGCAGTGTTTGTATTCTTCTTTACAAACTCAAACATTCACTATATAAACTGAAAAATGTTTGAAGATTTTGCTTTCCTTTGAATCACTTAATTAATATTTAGTTGTATAAGCACTGTTTCTGAGAACTGCTGTACATCTGTGTTGCATGGAGTCAACCAACTTCTGGCACCTGTGAACAGGTATTCCAGCCCAGGATGATTGGACTACATTCCACAGTTCTTCTCTATTTCTTGGTTTTGCCTCAGAAACTGCATTTTTGATGTCACCCCACAAGTTTTCTATTGGATTAAGATCCGGGGATTGGGCTGGCCACTCCATAACGTCAATTTTGTTGGTCTGGAACCAAGATGTTGCACGTTTACTGGTGTGTTTGGGGTCGTTGTCTTGTTGGAACACCCATTTCAAGGGCATTTCCTCTTCAGCATAAGGCAGCATGACCTCTTCAAGTATTCTGATGTATTCAAATTGATCCATGATCAATTTAAATGTATGCGATAAATAGGCCCAACACTGTAGTATGAGAAACATCCCCATATCATGGTGCTTGCGCAACCATGCTTCACTGTCTTGAATTCAGTGTTTGGGGGTCGTCTGACAAACTGTCTCCGGCCATTAGACCCAAAAAGAACAATCTTACTTTCATCAGTCCACAAAATGTTGTGCCATTTCTCTTTAGGCCAGTTAATGTGCTCTTTGGCAAATTGTAACCTCTTCAGCATGTCTTTTTTTCAACAGTGGGACTTTGCGGGGGCTTCTTGCAGATAGCTTGGCTTCACATAGGCGTCTTCTAATTGTAACAGTACTCACAGGTAACTTTAGACCTTCTTTGATCTTCCTGGAGCTGATTGTTGGCTGAGTCTTTGCCATTTTGGCTATTCTTCTATCCATTCGAATGGTAGTTTTTCGCTTTCTTCCACGTCTTTCAGGTTTTGGTTGCCATTTTAAAGCATTTGCAATCATTTTAGCTGAGCAGCCTATCATTTTCTGCACTTCTTTATATGTTTTCCCCTCTCCAATCAACTTTTTTAATCAAAGTACGCTGTTCTTCTGAACAATGTCTGGAACGACCCTTTTTCATCAGAATTTCAGAGAGAAATGCACTGTAACCAGCATGTACAACATTTGCTGCCTTCCTTCCTTAAATAAGGGCAATAATTGCCACCTGTTTTTCAAAGAATGAATGACCTCACTAATAGAACTCCACACTGCTATTATTTTGAACATGCCCCTTTCAATTAGTGATTCAATTACACAGAATCAGCAGCATGCATGTCATGACTGTTGGGTCTGTTGGATTTCTATTACTCTACTACACCTGCTAGTAAATTATTTGCCATGTAGAAATATCTTTTCTACTAAAAACAGTGATTGATCAGGTTAGTGATGTCTGACTTCTATTATTTTGAACACAACTGTAAATCATCTAGAACTGGGTAAGGTGCTATGTTGGCCTCACACTTCAAATATGAATCCTAATATTTGATTGGAATTTGACATTTTTGCTCAGTGGTGCCAAGTGTACTTGCTACTTTTTGCAAGCTTTAATGTACACATTGAAAAACATTTTTGATCATACCTCACACCACAAACCTATAAAAAAAAAAAACCTCAAACCGTTTGTTTATAATCAGCCATCCATTTTAGTCATGTTTGGTTCCCACTTTGCCTTGTCTATACCAGCTTCTGATTTGCCTCCTTTTTCCCCTACACCACTCAGGCACACTCAGGTCTCACGCTGTCTTCTCTATTCTCTGTTCACTTATTCAGCTCTCACTCCAATTTTCTGATGCGCTTGGTCACAGGTATTTTCCCCTGGCCACGGTTATCTCTTTTTCTGTCTTTTCTTCTCCATATTTTATCTATGACTAGATTCTGCTCTGCATCAGTCATCACACTGCCTAATTTCCCAATAGTAAATGACCAGCTCTGTCATCAATCCTGACTTCCTAGTTAATAATCATCAACTCTCTTACTCTCTCTTACCTCTCAGGTCTGCCTCCTTTACTAATGCACCACACTCTCCTCAACACCACTGCTAAAAAAAACCATTTTTTCACTGTCTATTCTTACCACAAATTGTCCTTGTAATGACAAAGCACGTGTTCGTGTGAAGCGCGTCTACAGCTCCTCTGTCCTGTCTTCGAACGGTCATGTTCTTATCATTTTACATGTAAAGGATTCCAATAAAGGATTTCATCCACTATATTGCGGTTTGTCCAGCCAACCATTCTGTTTTTTCCATTCCACAAATTGTCCTTAAACTATTGCAATTCTGCCACATCCTTCCCCTCCAGTGTCCATCATCATGTTCCATCAGCCTCTTCACTGAGGAGTCCAGTGTGCAAACATTAAAACTGAATTCCAGGTACGGATTTTATTACATAGTTACTTTGGTCCAGCTTGGACTAACATATGCATATGCCATACCTGTGAGACTGCTGCAAAAGCAGAGAATCACTGTAGTATCTGAGACTTTACTACACTGATTGTCAGTCTTCTGGGTCCCATGTCTAGTGGCTTTGTGATTGGATACGGTAGACAGGTGATGTCACAATCTCTACCTCATTCAATCAGTGAACACTGCATTTATTGAGATAAATGCAAGGAATTTTATGAATGGCACTCATTACGAGCAAGCGACCCCCTGTGGTTACTATGCAGCAGGCCAGACATTCGGCACATGACCTGGAAGACAGTTGCAATCACAAAGTGATTTTCCACTTCCACAGCAGTCTCACGGATATAGCATATACATACCTGGAGTTAAGATTTAAGCAAGCAGCCCAATTTAAAGCAGAATGCAAACCAAAAGTTTAATTTATTGCAGCTTTCTAAATGTGGTAGCTGCATTAGTTTTTCCTTAATTTTTACCTGAAATCTAGCCAGTAGGAAATTTTCTGTTCTTGGGTGTCTCCACTCTGGATGCAGGAGGAAAAAAAAAAAAACTTTGGATAGCAGCACTGTCTACCTAGGGAGAAGATAGCTGGAGTTTGGCTTTAATTACATATAGATGTTAGCGCATCTAACACTAACACTATTTAGGCAGTTAGAACAGCAGATGTTTTTTTCCTTTTGGTATAAAGGTTTTACATGAAAAAACAAAAGCTGGCCATTGTAAGCACCCCTATCGGTGTTAAATGGTGCGTCTCAACACTAACTACTACTTTTGCTGGACGGCTTGAAAATTAACAGAATTATTGTCTGGATCACCAGGTGAAAATAAAAAGTTAAAGTAAAAAAAAAAAAAAAAAAAAAAAAAAAGATGAATCATAGTGTTAAGAATGTGGGTTTGCAAAAAGATCTTTAGTATGTAAATAAACAGTACTTAACCATTGGAATTTGACGTCTTTTAAGGGTACAACGCAGACTACGGTTAATCCTCTGGTAACATTCCTCAGGCGTGTAAGCAGGATGCTCTTCAGCAAAATAAAAACAAATACACATAGTGAATTTTACCAAAATATCAACAGAAAATCATGGTCACTGCCACTAATCAAGCTGATTAAACGTCACATTGTAAAGTGCTTTCACATCAACATTTATTACAGGGTGTCACTGCTTGACTGTATAGTGAATGGATTGCTCTAAAACAAAAATAGCATCCAAAATCTGGATTGTACATTTATGCTGTTCTGAATTAATATTTTTTACTTATATTATTCATCTTTCCACACAATGTTAAGCAGTGTTTAAAGACTCATTCACACCATATGTGCATGAAGACTGAAGCGCAGATTTCACTTGCAGCGACATCAGTTTACATCAGTTTTCATGCACGCTTCAATTAGTTTTTTTAATACCTTGCAGATTCCTAGGCAGAAACAATTTGCACGTGATACCAAGTGTTGTGGTGTGAACAGGGCACATAGAGAACAACTGATTTTGTTGTGCCTTTGCAAAATTTGTGCAGAAAAAACAGACGTCTCTGCACCATGGTGTGAATGAGCCATAAATGAAGTGTTGTGAAATGTTTAAAAATTAAATGCAACTGCCCCCCAACCCCCATTTTCTTTTGGATAGGATGAAAAAAGGTTAGAACAAGTAATTTTTAAATAATTACTACTACTATTGATGAGATTTATCACCTTCAGTGAAAAATAGCACTCTCTAATCAGGGAAACACACAGCATTTAAAATACTTTTTAGTGCGGGGAAGTTTCAATCTTTTGTCAGTTTTATCCTGCTTTTTGCATTCTTACCAAGGAAACTGGAAAGTAGAAGCAATAAAAGCCTGACAGAGAATCTAGCCTTTACCCAGAAAAAAATGCTGCAGTTACACTTTAAAGTGAATATCTGGCCAGGCTATAATAAGATATGCAAGTATTTATGCATTTTTAAAAACTGCACATCAGCAGTAACAAGCCCTTATTGACCTCTATAGCTTCTTGCACTGTGAATTCTTCCCTTCAAATTGTTCTCACAGTAGCTCAGATCAACCTGCTTGCCTTCCTTTTAAGATTAAAATACTTGGCAGCCTTTTAATCTCAAATGTAAACAAACACAGTTTAAGTGCTCTTAGGCTCCATGGCTTAAAAGAAATGCCAGTTCCCTTGGCAGAAAAAAAAACGCTCATATACAGCATTTTTGTACACAGTTTAGGCGAGTTCAGAATTTTTTCAGCCAGAAAGCCCCAATGAAAAACGCAAATGGATTTTTTTTCTACCTCTAAACGCTGAGCTTAAAACATGCTTCTAATCGGCCTAATGTACATGGACACATAGGGTAACAATGAGCTGCTTCTACAGGCAAAACACAAAATTCCTGTAGAAGCAGTGATTTGAAGCCAGTGAGCATGCAGCCTTAGAAGGGGAGCTGAGCTGCTGAGAGATAACTACGTTGGTGATTCTGCTGTGAGCTTTAAGAATGAATTCTTTAAAGCTGAAGTTTAGTTAAAGAAAAAAAATCTTTTATGGCTACAGCTTTAGTCACATAACTGACCTGTAACAAAATGTATCCAATGTCCTGATTATTTTTTTTGCTGCCTCTAAAATATGCCCCTAAATGTCCTAAATGCGCATGGACACATAGGATAAAACTGAGCTGCTTTTACAGGCAAAAAGCTAAACCAGTGTGCATGAACCTGAAAGGTTTAAACTTGCACAGGCATTTTTAGTCTGGCAGTGGAAGAGCATGGGGAAAAAGGTAATGGTTGCTTATGGCAACTCCAATGCTGCAAGCTATTGCCAATTATGAGCATAGAACAAGTTTACTTTGCCAACTGTTTGGAGAATAGGCAAATATATCAGACACTTCACAGTGTTCAAACAAAGATCTTCTGTGTGCAGCCACCATATATGGAATATAAGCAACTGTCAACTACATGAGTAGTAAAAGTAGGTCATTGTGCTGCTGTTCACACTGTCCTGCGTACCATAATATACTGCAATTATGAAAGAAATCCTCCCAATGTTGACACACTGATTATATCAAGAATCACATACCAATGTGCATCTACTCTCTGGACGCCTGTGGATGCTTTAGGGAGGTTAAACTCAAATACAAATGAATTCCTGGATTCTAAACAGTATAGACACTAATTTTTAATGTTTTATACAGCTATGCCTGTAAAAGGGGACAGCCTGAAGTGATAGCAGGACTTAATTTACTAACTATAGCTGCACTTTAATCTATTAGGAAAGCTGTCTATTTTTTAAGGGCGGGGAGCTGAATGGTCAAGAAGTGGTCCATTTCTCTATTAAACTGAAAAAAACAAAAAAAAAAACAACCATTTTGGAATCAACCCTATTCTTGTAAATGAAGCCCTTCTCTATATTTCATGAAATGTTATAGCAAGAAAATACAATTTAAAAAAATCCCCAAAATAGCACACATTGCAGCAAAACTGTTTAGTAAGGTACCTGTCCTCTTATCCTTTCCTTTATTAATTCTTTCCCTAGGTCTCCTCACTTTCTGCTCCAAGTACAGAAGAACCTTCTCTTGCTCTTCCCCAGAGCGGTTCATAAACTCATTCCATATCTGCAAAAAAGACACATTTTTTTTTTTAGAGGAGCTATGTAGAAGAACACAATTACACTACTCTGCATATGATGGTTAGATCTGACCTTCAGAGGTAAATGCTTATTTTGCAAAATCTAGTATGAGCAGGTTCAGAATTCTATCAATAATTTTCAATCCATATGCTTTTTCTTCTGGAGCACTTAGCGAAGTTCAGAGAGGACAGACCATGCCTATTGTTACAGCACAGCAAAAAAATCACTTTCTACAACTCAAGACACCACTTGAGAAAACCATTGAAGAAAAAACACAGACAGGTAAGTTCAAGTGCCTAACTACTGCTAAATGGATTATAAGTGTTTGTGGAAGTGGATAAGATACACATTATGTAAAACACAATTGATTGGGAAATGCCACGTTTATAATGCTTGAATCTAGTTTTTGTTCTTATTGCAGTGGAGACACTGGACCGCTTAATAAAACAGTATTAAACCCAAAACCAAAAATGTAATATATTGCAGCTTATAGTGGTTGTAAAGGCTGAAGTTTTTTACCTTCATACATTTTATGCATGAAGGAAAAAAGTTTCTATGTGCCGCATCCCCCGCGCGTGCCCCAAAACACACCCAAGCACCCTCTCTATCCAGCAATGTGCACTAGAGTCTCGGCTATCCCGGGACTCCCTCTCCTCATTGGCTGAGACAGCAGCAGTGAGCCAATGAAAAGATAAAGGGGGCGGGGCTGAGCAACAGCTCCGTGTGTGAATGGACACACAAAGCAGCGCCTGGGGAGTGCGCATGCTTGGGTGCCCCCATAGCAAGCTGCTTGCTGTGGGGCACGCGACAGGAGGGAGGGGTCAGGAGCGCCAGCGGGGGACCCGAGAAGAGGAGGATCCAGGCTGTTCTGTGCAAATCCACCGCACACTGCAGGTAAGCATGTTTATTAATTTTGTAACAAAAAAATGGAAACCTTTAGAATCACTTTAACAATCATTAAATGTGGTGTCTTCATTAGAATTCCCCTCACCAGCACATTGCAGGCAGGCGGACAGCAAGTAGTTAAAAAAAAAATATTCTCAATATTGTATTTTTTTTAAAAATACTTTTATCAGAGTAGTACAATGTTACTAACATTGTACTCTCCTTGGGGGCGAACAGGGTTTTTTCTTTTTTTTTACACTTTGGTTTGCAGGAGCAATAAAGATTACTGCTCCTGCAATGCAAAGCTTGCTTTGAATGGTCATGGATGGGTTAAGTGCATGACAGTTCAAAATATTAGTGATCTGTGATTGGCTGGAGCTAGTCACATGGTACAGGGTGATGTGACTAGCCCCATATATCATGAGAGAGCTGTGGACCAATCACAGCTCACCAGGACGAGAAGCAGAACTGTTATGAATCAGATTGATTCACAACAGCTTTGCTAACATTGTGATCATGCGATCGCTATGCGATCAATGATCACCAGGATATTCATTCCTCTGTATCCAGTGGACACAGCAGTCATGGGTGGGGAGCGCTGCGTGCCCGCTTGAACGAGCAGCACCCCCTTGTTTATACAGCCAGAGCGACGTACCTGTACGACGCTTTGCCTTTAGCTGCCGCCTGTCCGCAGTACATTGCGGACGGCCGGTAAGCAAGTGGTTAAACAGGTGTCCAGCAGACAGTTGATTACAAAAGGGCGTTTACTTAAAGAAAACCCCTTCCCATTTCATGCTGTCAGCAATGGCACCACATAGAAGAGAAATATCACAAGGCCTGAGAAAGAAAATAATTTTGTTACACAAGAGAGGTGAAGGCTACAAGAAGATCAGCAAACCTTTACTCATCAGTCACAACACTGTAGAAAAAGTGATACAAAAATTATTATTATTATACAGGATTTATATAGCGCCAACGGTTTGCTCAGCGCTCTACATTATAGTGGGAGACAATACAGTTCCATACAAGAGGGATTTGAGGGCCCTGCTCCTTGGAACTTACAATGTAGGAGGGTGGGGTGAAAGGTACAGTAGGTAGTCACTGTGGGGGATGGAGTGGTTGGAAGAGTAGATTATTCCAGAATTAGCAGAGGGCGGGATAGGCTTCCCTGAAGAGAAAGGTTTTCAGTGATCGCCGAAAGGCAAGTAGAGTAGGTGATAATCTGATAGATTGGGATAGGGAGTTCCAGGATGGGTGACGCCCTGGAGAAGTCTTGGAGATGAGCATGGGAGGAGGAGATGAGGGAGCTAGAGAGTAAGAGGTCTTGCGAGGAGCGGAGTGTATGGTTTGGGTGATATTTAGAGATAAGCTCGGTTATGTAAGTTGGGGAAGTGTTGTGGATGGCTTTATAGGTCATTGTTAGAGTTTCGAATTTTATCCGTTGGGCAACTGGGAGCCAGTGGAGGGGTTGGCAGAGAGGGGAGGCAGATACGGAACGGTTAGTGAGGTGGATGAGTCTGGCAGCAGCATTCATGATAGACTGGAGGGGGGATAGTCTACGATGAGGTAGGCCAATGAGGAGGGAGTTACAGTAGTCGAGGCGTGATATGACAAGGGAGTGAATGAGTTGCTTAGTGGATTCCGAGGTTAGGAACGGTCGTATCTTGGAGATGTTGTGGAGGTGAAGTCTACACGATTTTGTCAGCGATTGGATCTGGGGCTGGATGAACAGATGGGAGTCTAGGATTACACCTAGTACCCTGGCGTGAGGGGATGGACTGAGGATGATGTTAGCGATATTTATGGTGAAGTCAGTAGGGGTGGCACGGGCAGGGGGGAATACTAGGAACTCAGTTTTGGAGAGGTTGAGTTTGAGGAAGTGGAGTGACATCCAAGCCGATATGTCGCTTAGTAGGCTAGAGAAGGTTGTTGTCAGTGAGGTGGGAGCTCAGACGATTGTAGACTAAGCGTTCTAGGAGTTTAGAGGTAAATGGCAGCAGGGAGATGGGTCTAAGGTTGTTCAGGTTGGTGGGGTCTAGGGAGGGTTTCTTAAGTATGGGAGTGATGTGCGCGTGCTTTAGAGGGGAGGGGAATGCACCTGTAGAGAGGGAGAGATTGAAGATGTGAGTGAGGGAGCATAGGATGGAAGAAGAGGGAGACCGAAGGAGTTGTAAGGGGACAGGGTACAGGGGGCAGGTGGTGAGGCGGACTTCTGAGAAGACCTTAAAGACCTCTTCGGTGGTAGCTGTCACGATCGCAGCATCAGACCCCAGACCTTCTAACCAAACTCATGACCGAAGGGCTAACCGATCTACAACCGTGATGTGACGTGCGTAAGAATGCCACACCCAGCTGCACCGTGCACAACGATTTTCCAGCTAATGGGTACCAATCGAAGTGCCAGCAGCCTGAATCGATTGTTACTGGGTCAGGTTAATTAGGCAATTAACCCCTTCACACTGCCACCACCTCCTTTTTGTTCAGAGAAAAAGGAAACTCGCAATATCGCTATAACACTATAATAATTAAAATAATCGTCCACATAACCCGGTCATTGACACAGGCCAGTTGTACAGAGAGTTAAACCAACAGTAGCGTCTCTTTAAAGGCAGGGATTCGTAAATTGCAATTAAGAGCTATAGAAACAGTTCAACACTTTCAGAAGAAAGATTTATTACTAAAAAGGGTCAAACAGGTGCAATAAAAATATTTACAGAGAGGATGTAACTAATACATAGAAAACAGCACAGCACAGCAAAGAGATAACAGGGAGAAGTTAAAGGGTTAAGTTACTTGCCAATAAGCCGTTTCAGAGCAAAAGGCACAGGTCTCCCCAGGTGGTATATTGATGTGAAGAATGGGAGATGTCTTTTTCTTAACTCTCTTAGGCTTGACAGCCTGCTTTAAAGTTTCCCAGCAGGGGTTGGTTTCTGAAGTAACAGACCAATACCCTGTTTAGGGAGGGATCATCAGGCGGAACCCTAAACTGGAACCAACATCTTTCATAATTCATATTCTGGTCCATAATTTTCCATCTGCACAAGCGACAGTCTACCTGCGGGTATATTATTATGCAGACAAGTCTGAGGATTATTTAGATATAAATTATGAAATTATATATTGCACGGTTCACGAGTTCTATGTTTCGGCTTCCCTGATGATCCGAGATAAGGCGAGTGACCCATCAAACTGTTTGCCTGCTCATCGTCCATCCAATGAGCTGTCCAGCTTTTATGTAGGTCTCTCATATTCCAAGATATGAAACATAGGGGAGAAATGGATCTTTTAAAAATGTTATCTGGTGTGGGCTTCTTGGGAATGCCTTGAACTCCTGGGAAGGCTCCCTTATCTTTTTACGAGGCGTGAAATTACACAGGTTCTTTGGACTCCAACTGTCCTGGGGGGGGCTTTGTAGCTCTGGGCTCCCTGCTTCTCTAGCTTGCCAGTGACCCACAACCAGATGTCACTGTGGCCAAACTCAGAGGAAAGGGGGGAAGATGAAGGCAAAAATATATTTCAGGACGGTTAATCTCTTTGCCAAGATGGAGGTTGAAGCCAAAATGCTTGAACGGCGTCCATCTCTGATGCGCACGTTTGCGACAGTAGCGAGGTGAAAGGAGGACAGTGTTGAGGGGTATGGTGTGAGGGATGCTAGGTGGGGTGGGTGTCTGTGTGCTGGCGATGTCCCTATGAATTGCGTCGATCTTGTTTTGGAAGTGATGTGCAATCTCGTGGGCAGTGATTGAGGCGCTGGGTGGCGGTGGGGGTGGAGAAAGTAGAGACTCGAAGAGAAGGTATTAATGAGGGTGACAAAGTAAGCTTGTTTGGCAGCGTGAAGGGAGGAAGTGTATGTTAGAAATTCAACAAAGATGGAACTGCAACCATCTCATGGGCCGGCCATGGAAGTTAACACCTCGACAAGAGCACCTTCTGATGAGAAGGGTTGAAGAAAATCGCCATGCAAGTTTTCCTCAGTTAGCTAAAGAAGTAGAAAGCCAAACTTAGGTGCAGAGGACTGGCATGCATGGGTGTCGTGCATGAACGAAGCGTCCCCTAAAGCCCATGCACAAAAAAGCCCACCTAGAATTTGCCAGGGCCCATGCTGAAAAAGAACATGACAGCTGGGAGTCTGTACTCTGGAGTGATGAGACCAAGATAAATGTTTTTGGAATGGATGGCTTCAAAACTATATGGCGTCACAAAGGTGAGGAGTGCCCTTGGTCGTCGTGCACTTTTCCCAACATGGTGATGAACCAAAACACACCTCTAAGGTCACTGTTGCATTTCTGAAGGACAGGGTGAAAGTGGTTCAGTGGCTAAGTATGTCTCCTGATCTGAACACAATCGAAACACCTATGGGGAATTCTGAAGAGACAAGTTGAGCATTTATTCTCCATCCAGAATCCAGGTTGTTCTGGAAGAATGGAAAAAGATGGATGTTTCAATATGCCGCCAACTTGTTCATTCCAGGGTAATCAAGGGGTTAAGTGTGTCTAACAAGTGTTAATATGTCATGTCTGCTGCTTTATACTAAAAAGATTGCTTTAAAGAGATTGTTCCCTCTGTACAGAGACCTGTGTTGTCAACACAGGGCCCTGGGCTGTGATTGCATGCCCATGGATCATTGGCCAGGACCTGCTGACCAAGTCCGCTGTATTTAATCACAGCAGAGTTGGCAGGCAGGGGCATGTATGCGTGCCCTAAACCCGGGAGAAAGCCACAACATACAGGTATGTTACTGTGCATGTACAACCCGCCTGACCTCATTATATGTAACGCAGCAGGTTGGTAAGCAGATAAAAAGAATCAACTGATGTGAACCATGTCTCGCAAAAAGGAGCTCTGTGAAGACATATAAATCAAGAGTAAATGATTTGCAAAAGGCTGGAAAGAGATACAACACAATCTCAAAAGTTGTCTATAAATTGACACAGTTTGGTACTCTGTTCCTAGAAGTGGGCGCCCAGCCAAGATAACTCCCAAGGCACACGGCAGAATCCTCAGTGAGGTAAAGAAGAATCCATGAGTAACAGCAAAGTTTTGAACACATCCCTGGAACTGGCAAACATCCCTGTTCATGAGTCTGCCATAACCAAGTCTTTGAACAGGCAAGGTGTCCATGACAGAATACCACAGGGGAAGCTACTGCTCTTCAAAAAATAAACCAAAAAAACATTGCTGCGCACCTGAACTTTGCCAAAGTGCAACGTCGCAAACTGCAACATTACTGGGAAAATGTTTTGTGGACTGATGAAACACAATGTAGAAACAGGAAGACCTGACCGCCGCATACCTTGCCCGGCCCGAGTGGTTGGCAGGTAAAAGCAGCCTCAGCTCGATTCATCCAAGCCATGCCCCAGCATATTTTGCCCCGGCCCCAGATTGTTCAGGAAGAATACTCAGAACTATCTATGGCACAGAAAGGGCACAGCTTACCAACATCATTGCAACAGCGAAGTATGGTGGAGGGAACATTATGATTTGGACTTGCTTCGCTGCCTCAGGGCTGGACCACTTATTATCAAGGGGAAAATGAATGCCTATGTTTACCAAAATATCCTACAAGATAATATCAGGGTGGCTGTCCACCAGCTGACACTTAGTAGAAGTTGTGTAAAGCAGGATAATAACCCTAAGCATCTAAGTAAATCCATCACAGACTGGCTTCAGAAAAAGAAAATGCGCCTTTGAGTTGCCCAGTCAGCTTCCAGACCTTAATCCCATAGAGATGCTGTGGAATGACCTCAATAGAGCTAATCACACCAGACATCCTACAAATGTTTCTGAGCTGAAGCAATTTTGTAAAGAGGAAAAATCAAAAATTTCTCCTGTATCTTCTACTTGAAATCATTGCTGCCAAAATAGGATCGACCAGTTATTAAACGCTAAGGGTTCGCTTACTTTTTCCTCCAGCACTGTTAATGTTCAATAGGTGTTCAACAAAGGCACAATAAATTAGACTTGCTTGTGTTTGTCTATGGTTGTGACTTAAGCCAGCCAAAGATGGATCAAATCTTGGTTCAGCGGGGACCAGCTGAGATTCGATCCATCTATGGACATGCTTCAGTACAACCAGCCTGTTGGATTATTTCCATGTGATCACTGCCGGCAGCTATTGCAACCAGCAGTGAACATTGTGTTGGGAAGGCTTCCGCTGGCAGAACACAATAGTGCTGCAGGAGGGATTCAGTGTTAATGGGAGAATCAGACAGCCAGTGTTGATGGGGGAATCTGTCAACTTTTTTTCCTTATACCCCTAGCGAAGGGAAAAAAAAATTGCATAATCTATAGGCTGCGTTAGATGAGGATTAGATCACTTTTTATGGTAATGTACTGCAGAAAAACAGTTAATAAACAGTTAATTCCAAAGGGTTCACATATTTTTCTTGCCACTGTATTTGCAATTAAGCTGTGACATGCAACTTTGATAAAACTAACATGTAGTTAATGATATTAAGTGGCCACGTTAATAATAAATGACACATTTTTAAGCACAGTGGTGGGCTTTACAAATGTTCAGGTTCCTTTTAATCAAAGGGGGGAAAAAAGGTGCCACAAGAAAAAGAGCAGCGCTAAGTAGATACACTCCACGGGACACCACAAGCTCCACACTATGCTCTGCACTTTTCTGAATAGCATTTCAAAATGCAGAGAGTAGCATGAAATAAACACTATGGAGTCTGTCAAACAGAAATCAGAGGTATCTGTTCTTCATAATAAAATGCCCCCAATGTTTCACAGCAAATACTCTTAAAGGAATGCAAATACATAAGACTCCTTAATTACAATTTTCTACATGTTTACCTCAATGTATGTCTCATTATTACAGGCCTCGGTAAATATGCTAGGGGGAGAACAAGGGCAGGGTTCACCTTCTTCCATCACACATTCATCCTTCTCCAGCAAAGTCATCAAATAGCGATCTATGGTGAAAAGAAAATACTGAGATACATATCACCAAACAATCTGTTCCCATGACTTGCTGTAATGGGCAAACTTAAACTCTTATGCAGATGACAGCAGTGCAAGTTGTATTTTTGTTTTACCATTCCTGCTGCCTGCACTGCTTTGTTAAATAGAAATCTTCCTATGAGGTCTACTGAGAAACTGACCCTTGTGGGAGAATGGACCTCCTGCAGTCAGTGGTTCCTCTCGCTGACCCTGTAGTCATTGAAGGACACTCTTTTTTTAGAGGGACAAACAGTATTTCAAGGCAATTCTCATTACTTGACAGGGACACCACAAACCAGGCATCACTAAATGGCAGAGCGCGGTCTGAATCCAGAGTGAGCCATTGTCCAGCCACTGGTCCAGGCAAGTGGTTACACCATTTAGGACCTGTTTTTATCTCCCAGGAACTGAGTGCAGGAGACACAGTTTAGCATTGAATGGAGGGTGGGAGCAGGAGCTGTCAGCGGTTAATTTTTTGTTTTAATCAGCAAGAGACTGGTTGCTAAGATATGGGTCAGTCCTAGCAACCAATCATCTCTGGTTAATCTGGAAAGTTAACTCTTGCAGCTCCTGCCCTCCATCCAATGCTGAGCTGTGCCTCCTGCACTCAGTTCATTATTGTCCTGCCTCCTGCACTTTCTAAGGTAGGAGAGTAAAGGGGGGCACAGGACACTACTGGAGGGAAGGAGGAGGGGGGTGGTTGGCTGGATGTCAAGCGGGCATAGCACACTACTATGGGGGGAAGTGCTGTGGGAGGGGGTGATGTAAAGGGGAAAAGGGGAGGATTGATGCAAAGTGGGGGGGGGGGGAGGGAGTGCACTGTGGGGGGCTTTGAAGAGAGGCAGTGCTGTGAGGGGTGATGTGAAAAGGGCATAGCGCACTATTGTGTGCAAGTGTGTGTGTGTGTGTGTGTGTGTGTGGGGGGGGGGGGGGGTCTGTGATGTGAGGGAGGCCAGTGCTGTAGGAGGGTAATGTAAAGGGGGGCAGTGCTGTGAAAGGGGGGTGGGCGATATGAAGAGGGGCAGTGCTGTGGGGAAATGATGTGAAGGAGTGAACTGAGGACAATGATGTAAAACAGGATTGTGATGAAAGGGGGGGTTGTGATGAGAAGGATCTGAGCCTTTGCACAAACATGTGATTCGGTCCTCTGCTGGAAAAATAATGTTACTGATTGGACCACCAAAACATTTTAATTCAATACCCTTGCCCTAAACCTTGAAAGAAAAACTGTAAATCCCTTCCCTAAAAAAAAAATGCTTCCCTAGCACACAACACACTTTCTATAGGCTATATTCATTTGTGTAGTGAATGCAGGAGAGCATTCAGCAGATGTGCTGTTTCAGCCTTAGTAAGACCTGTGCTGCGATTTGCTCTTCCACATTGGGGGTCCACTGGGAGAAGGTATTAAAATAAAATGCCTAGAGCAGCCCAAATGGAATGTTCTACATGAATAACATGAGCTGTGTACTCAACTTCTTAACTAATTCATTTAAATCTGATGCTCAATAGGCACCCATGCAGTGTGTGTAAGCATACCCCTAAACAAAGTTTTCTGGACGCAAACAAATTACTTGAGTCTGGGAACCTCATATGCAGGAACATGTTCAGCCATATAAAAAGTATTTACTTGCAATGACTTTAGGGGCCCATTCACACTATGCTGCAGAAAGGTGCAATATGCTGGTTGGAGGGATGTGGTGCCATTTTACAGAGAAATTAAAGTCATAAACATACACTTTGTATATTGATTTGATATAGAGGTCTATGTTTTGCGCTCTGTTTATTTATATATTTTTTACAATTTGTGTTGATTTCCCTAAAAGTCATAACATACACTTTCCCTTTATAATAGGAGCATTTTAATAGCAAAACAATTTTTTTTTTGACAATCCAATATAAGCATACTTGGAAAATCTTTTTTCTTGTGGCAAATACTGGCCATCTCTCAACAATTTTCTGCATGTTAAGCGGCTTCTTCTCTGCTCATTCCTTTGGTTTACTTTCAATTTTTCAATTTCTTTTAATTACTTTTCAGTTTATAAGTACTACGCCTCCTGAAATTCCTCCTTTCAGAAACTTTGCAGTTCAGAAGGCAGACTCAGTGAAATGTGTGACACAGTAGTGCAGTGTTTTAGTTTTATTTTTAAAAAATTTAAAAAATTTAGTTTTAGTGCAGAATATAAAGAATGTATATACAAAACCAAAAGAAAATATGGGCTGCACAGTGATGACGTCATTGTAGTTATATCAAAGTTTACTGCAGCCGCACAAACATGTTGCAAAAGTCCTGCCTCCAGACCTCCATCCACTAATGAATTTTCCCCTATAGGCTTATGACATGATTCCTCTGATCTACGGTGCACAGAGTGAGGACATACATGTGGGAGAGCACTGGACACCTGGGACAGAACAGGGTATATTGGCATTTGGAACTACTTTTCATATATACAGTAGGAAAACAACATACCGTATTTTTCGCTCCATAAGACACACCTGACCATAAGACGCACCTAGGTTTTAGAGGCGAAAAACAGGAAAAAAAAAATTCTGAACCAATGGACTGCAGACATAGTACAGGAGATGACCAGAGACTGCGGACACAGTACAGGAGATGACCAGAGACTGAGGACACAGTACAGGGGATGACCAGAGACTGCGGATATAGTACAGGAGATGGCCAGAGACTGCGGACATAGTACAGGATATGGCCAGAGACTGCGGACATAGTACAGGATATGGCCAGAGACTGCGGACATAGTACAGGATATGGCCAGAGACTGCGGACACAGTACAGGATATGGCCAGAGACTGCGGACACAGTACAGGATATGGCCAGAGACTGCGGACACAGTACAGGATATGGCCAGAGACTGCGGACACAGTACAGGATATGGCCAGAGACTGCGGACACAGTACAGGAGATGAGGACACAGACAGGAGATGACCAGAGACTGAGGACACAGTACAGGAGATGACCAGAGACTGAGGACACAGTACAGGAGATGACCAGAGACTGAGGACACAGTACAGGAGATGACCAGAGACTGCGGACACAGTACAGGAGATGACCAGAGACTGCGGACACAGTACAGGAGATGACCAGAGACTGCGGACACAGTACCAGAGAGGACAGTACAGGATATGACCAGAGACTGCGGACACAGTACAGGAGATGACCAGAGAGAGACTACAGGAGATGACCAGAGACTGCGGACACAGTACAGGAGATGACCAGAGACTGCGGACATAGTACAGATGACCAGAGACTGCGGACATAGTACAGGGAAAATACCAGGGACACAGTACAGATGACCAGAGACTGCAGACAGTGCAGGGAATAACCAGACTGCAGACAGTGCAGGGGATACCAGAGACTGCAGACAGTAAAGGAGATGACCAGAGACTGCTGACCTTTGGGGAGGGAGGGGGAGCGGGTACCTGAAATTGACAGGTACCCGCTCCCACTTCCGCGGCGTTGTCCTTCTCTCTTCTTCCCGCGCCGGCTTCTGTGACAGCCGGGTGCCCACTGCGCATGTGCGAGAAGCGCTGCGCTTTGTGAATGGCCCGGCGCCTTCTGGGACCTGTCATATGTCCCAGAAGACACTGGACCATTCACAAAGCGAAGCGCATGCGCAGTGGGCACCCGGCTGTCACAGAAGCCAGCGCGGGAAGACTGTGCAGCGCTGGAGCGAGGAACAGGTAAGGCCCTGCAAGAGAAAACAGCTGAGCGGCCGGCCCAGTATTCTGACATGGTGGCGGCAGAAATACCGGACCGGCCGCTTTATATTCGCTCCATAAGACGCACTGACATTTTCCCCCCTTTTTTTGGGGGAAAAAAGTGCGTCTTATGGAGTGAAAAATACGGTACATTCTTTTTTCCCCCAGTTTCTGCTGTTTGTGTGAGATGGCTTAATCGTATTATGTGCTCTAGGTATATTCACCCACACAGACCCCACAAAATCACAGTGCCATCAAGATCTTTAGTCAGAGAAAATCATGAGTATTTGGTAATTGGAAGTCGCATGTAGTAACCGGCTGGACACCACTGTGTTACATATCCATTTTCCAAAACTGACAGTGCTACTGCATGATACAGTAGATATAAAAAGTCTACACACCCCTGTTAAAGATTACTGTGATGTAAAATAATGAGACAAAGATAAATAATTTTAGAACTTTTTCCACCTTTAATGTGACCTATAAACTGTACAACTCGCATAAGTGTGCACACCCTCTTATAACTGAGGATGTAGCTGTATTCAGAATTCAGCAATCACATTCAAAATCATGTTAAATAGGAGTCAATACACACCTGCTATCATTTAAAGTGCCTCCGATTAACCCCAAATAAAGTTCAGCTGTTCTAGTAGGTCTTACCCGACATTTTCTTAGTCACATCCTACAGCAAAAGCTATGGTCCGCAGAGAGCTTCCAAAGCATCAGAAGGATCACAATGTTAAAAGGTATCAATCAGGAGAAGGGTACAAAAGAATTTGCAAGGCATTAGATGTACCATGGAACACAGTGGAAACAATCAAGTGGAAAAAATATGGCGCAACAGTGACATTACCAGGAACTGGACTTCCCTCCAAAATTGATGAAAAGACAAGAAGAAAACTGGTCTGGGAGGCTGCCAAGAGGCCTACAGGAACATTAAAGGAGCTGCAGGAATATATCTGGCAAGTGTTGGCTATGTGGTACATGTGACAACAATCTCCCTTATTCTTCATATGTCTGGGCTATGGGGTAGAGTGGCAAGATTGAAGCCTTTTCTTGCGAAGAAAAACATCCAAGCCCGGCTAAATTTAGCAAAAACACATCTGAAGTCTCCCAAAAGCATGTGGGAAAAACGTCTTATGGTCTGATGAAACCAAGGTTGAACTTTTTGGCCATAAATCCAAAAGATATGTTTGGGGCAAAAACAACACTGCACATCACCAAAAGAACACCATACCCACAGTGAAGCATGGTGGTGGCAGCATCATGCTTTGGGTCTGTTTTTCTTCAGCTGGAACTGGGGCCTTAGTCAAGGTAGACGGAATTATGAACAGCTCCAAATACCAGTCAATATTGGCACAAAACCTTCAGGCCTCTGCTAGAAAGCTGAACATGAAGAAGAACTTCATCTTTCAGCATGACAACGACCCAAAGCATACATCCAACTCAACAAAAGAATGGCTTCACCAGAAGAAGATTAAAGTTTTGGAATGGCCCAGCCAGAACCCAGAACTGAATCTGATGGAAAATCTGGGGGGTGATCTGAAGAGGGCTGTGCACAGGAGATGCCCTCGCAATCTGATAGATTTGGAGTGTTTTTGCAAGGAAGAGTGGGCAAATATTGCCAAGTCAAGATGTGCCATGCTGATAAACTAATACTTTGTTGAAGCACCTTTTGATTTTATTACAACACTCAGTCTTTTTGGGTATGAGTCTAAGGGTGTGCACACTTATGCAACCATATTATTTTAGTTTTTTATTTTTACTTCCCTTCACCTAAAATATTTCAGTCTGTTGTTCAACTGAGTTGTACAGTTTATGGGTTACATTAAAGGTGTAAAATGTTCTGAAATTATTTATCTTGGTCTAATTTTTTTACATCACAGAAACCTGACATTTTAACAGGGGTGTGTAGACTTTATATTCACTGTATAAGCTTGCTGCTAAAAAAAATATACAAACCATGGCAAGATTATGGAATATGCAGCAGAACTCTGTTAAAGTGCCATATGGTGCAAACAATTTTGAAGAGGTGCCACATATTCCATATCTGCAAGTAGCCCCTCCCCTTAGTTTGTCTCACTGTTTTCTAGGCGGCGTAGACTCTTCCTCCCTTTGGCCTTTGGAGTCAGTTCAGAGTTGCGGATGGCACGATTTATATAGTATTGCTTCCGTTTAGCAGTACAGCCTTTCTTAGAAGGAGAATTTGGCAGTGGTGAGAGGCAATCCTCTATCAACCTGTGAAAAATAAAATACAGAGAATTAGCTGGGATCTAAGATCACATGTCATAAATACAAAAAGTTACTAAATACAAAGCCTATTGTTAAAAGAGAAGTAGGGGTTTCTTTTCTTTCCCTCAGTTATACTTACCTAGGTGGATGCAGCATCGGTCCGATGTTGCATCTGTCCCCCACCGCTGATGACACGACCGCTGATTGCTGAGTTCTCACAGATGCTCTGAGCAGAGAGTGGTGACTGTCAGTCACCACTGTCAGCTGCGCCCCCCCCCCCCCCTCCACACTCACTGGAGCGCTGGGCTGTGGAGGAAGAGGGGTCAGATGGCTCAGAGTCTGTGGCTCACTGAGAGGCTGAGCCATGTGCCACACCAGACTCTGGGGTGGATGCCGACTTTAAAGTCCGGATCTTTCCCTGGCCTGGACCGGCTGAGTGACATAAGCTGACAGTGGTCTTCAGCCTGTTGTCAGCTGAAAACGGGTCACAGGAGTGCAGAACAAACTGCACTTCTGTGATCCACAGTAGATGTACAGCCAACGGAACTTTGGCTGTACTTCTCCTTTAGGCGATTTGTTAGAAAGTGCTTGAAGGGCCACTGAAAAGGGGAGGGAATACTTAAATGTCAGTTAGATAGGTTAGCCTTCTACTTTACAATTGATATATTCATCGCTATTAGAGAGAAATGGTTGTTAATAATTTGTCTGCTTGGTTCCTGTTAATAATTTCTGTGGTTCCTGTTATTGTTGACCAATTAAATCATGCAAAGGCGCATACAAAAAATGTTGCCAAATATGGTTTTCAAACAAGCTTTTAATTTGCATCTGACTGTATTAAACATTTACCACCATATACTCTAAAAAAACAGACAGACAATTAAGGAGACACTTGTGAAAATATACAGTCAGGTCCATAAATGTTGGTACATCGACACAATTCTAACATTTTTGGCTCTATACACCACCACAATAGATTTGAAATGAAAATGTGCTTTAACTGCAGACTGTCAGCTTTAATTTGGGGATATTTACATCCAAATCAGGTGAACGGTGTAGGAATGAAAACAGTTTGCATATGTGCCTCCCACTTGTTAAGGGACCAAAAGTAATGGGACAATTGGCTTCTCAGCTGTTCCATGGCCAGGTATGTGTTATTCCCTCATTATCCCAATTACAATGAGCAGATAAAAGGTCCAGAGTTCATTTCAAGTGTGCTATTTGCATTTGGATTCTGTTGCTGTCAACTCCCAAGAGGAGATCCAAAGAGCTGTCACTATCAGTGAAGCAAGCCATCATTAGGATGAAAAAACAAAACAAACCCATCAGAAAGATAGCAAAAACATTAGGCGTGGCCAAAACAACTGTTTGGAACATTCCTAAAAAGAAGGAATGCACCGGTGAGCTCAGCAACACCAAAAGACGTGGAAAGACCACGGAAAACAACTGTGGTGGATGACCAAAGAATTCTTTCCCTGGTTAAGAAAACACCCTTCACAACAGTTGGCCAGATCAAGAACACTCCAGGAGGTAGGTGTATGTGTGTCAAAGTCAACAATCAAGAGAAGACTTCACCAGAGTGAATACAGAGGGTTCACCACAGGATGTAAACCATTGGTGAGCCTCAAAAACAGGAAGGCCAGATTAGAGTTTGCCAAACGACATCTAAAAAAGCCTTCACAGTTCTGGAACAACATCATATGGACAGATGAGACCAAGATCAACTTGTACCAGAGTGATGGGAAGAGAAGAGTATGGAGAAGGAAAGGAACTGCTCATGATCCTAAGCATACCACCTCATCAGTGAAGCATGGTGGTGGTAGTGTCATGGCGTGGGCATGTATGGCTGTCAATGGAACTGGTTGTCTTGTATTTATTGAAGATGTGACTGCTGACAAAAGCAGCAGGATGAATTCTGAAGTGTTTCGGGCAATATTATCTGCTCATATCCAGCCAAATGCTTCAGAACTCATTAGACGCCACTTCACAGTGCAGATGGACAATGACCCAAAGCATACTGCAAAAGCAACCAAAGAGTTTTTTAAGGGAAAGAAGTGGAATGTTATGCAATGGCCAAGTCAATCACCTGACCTGAATCTGATTGAGCATGCATTTCACTTGCTGAAGACAAAACTGAAGGAAAAATGCCCCAAGAACAAGCAGGAACTGAAGACAGTTGCAGGGATGAAACCCAGCGTCTGGTGATGTCTATGCGTTCCAGACTTCAGGCTGTAATTGACTGCAAAGGATTTGCAACCAAGTATTAAAAAGTGAAAGTTTGATTTATGATTATTATTCTGTCCCATTACTTTTGGTCCCTTAACAAGTGGGAGGCACATATGCAAACTGTTGTCATTCCTACACCGTTCACCTGATTTGGATGTAAATACCCTCAAGTTAAAGCTGACAGTCTGCAGTTAAAGCACATCTTGTTCGTTTCATTTCAAATCCATTGTGGTGGTGTATAGAGCCAAAAATGTTAGAATTGTGTCGATGTCCCAATATTTATGGACCTGACTGTAATGCATTAAAGTGTTAATAAACCAACAACAGTAAAATCAGTCTTTATTTTTCTATTATGAAATGACAGACAGAGGATAGGACAAACTATATAACCCTGCCAGGAACATTTATTCATATGCTATTAAAAAACAAAAAAAAAAAAATCTAAGTTAGAGCTCGTTTGCGCAGCTCACCATCTGTGTGTACGATCCTATAGGCCTTTAATTTGCTTGTTTATTCAAAACCACGTCTATCTAAAGTTGGCCACACATGGTGCAGTATTTTTAATCAGCCAGCAAACTAACTTAAAAAAGAAAAAAAAAAGAATGGATTGCCTTCACACATTCTAGGTGGATGGGGGAATCCCCCCCATGTGCTATTGTATTCAAACAGCAGGGAGTCTCCCCCCACTGTTAGAATACACAGAGCAGCTCTGCAGCGTATTTTGTCTGACAGTGCAATTGAATAGAAGTTACTGATCGACTTCTGTTCCAACTTCAGTGGACATACATGGATTGAAATTCGGCTGGTCCCTGCTTAATCAGATGAAATTTTGATCCATCCATGGCCACTTTAACTACTACCTGCAGGCCGCACACATATGTGGCCTCTATATAATGGGTGGACTTGAACGCCGAGTGGCCACATGCATGCGTCTATATGCAAACAATATACCATGCTGAGTGCACACTCCCTGCGTGGTCCCAGCACAGTAACTAAACTGTCAAAGAAAGCTCCTGATGCATACATGCAATCAAGAGTTTCCGATTATGTGACCGCTGTGACAGCAAATCACAGCGGTCACATGATCGGAATGCCACCAGAGTGATAACACTGCTTTGTGGTTTAACTGAAAGAATGGACAGTGCTGCCACCCTGATAAAGGAAGAGCAAAATCAACAAATCTACTTGTAGGAACATGTTAATAAACCCATTTTACAAATACAGTATGTTAATTTTGCCTATAGTTCCACTTTAGTGCTCAGTAAATTGAGGCAACAGGAATTAATTTAAAGCACATGTGTATTTTAGTGTTTTTCAACCTGCTTAATTTTCTTCCCTCCTATAGTTTTCCCTTTCTCCCAGAGCAAGATAGTGGTTTATACACCAAATCAATAAAACTATTTTTTTTCCCCTTCATATTCAATTCTTGTCTCAACTATGAATCATAAATGTTGATGCCAAGTCGACAACCATTGAATAGCCATTTATAATAATTTTGTATGGTATTAATAAAATCCATTTTGGATTTTTTCCCCTCCATTAACTGTCTGTACAAGTTGATCTCCACACAATAATGAGACATTTAACTTAACCAAGGTATTTTTTTTAGGGGGGTTATGGTTTGTCCATAAACACTAATGAAATGTACTTTTTCTTGTGGCTGCCACCTAAAAATATAATATTGTATTGGCTTATCCCTTAAGTCTAAATATTTCTATATCATGACATTATCAGTGCATACAAAGTAAATTGTATTTGGTAAGTGGTCTGGAAATGCATATGAATACAATTCTCACAGAGTAAAGATTTTAGCACATTCAGACAGGAATATAAATGAGCCTTAGCCTCCTAGAATCTAAAGCAGTTATAAGTGTTAATAGAGATTCTAGACTATATGCCTGGAATATTATACCTCATGTAAACCTTTTCATAGCTAAAGCCTCAATGTAGGCTTTCAAAATGTCAAGCATTAACCTTGGGAAATGAACAGTCCCATTTATTAGGGTACTTTTTTCTTCAATATACAGCTGGCTTAATAATGAGCTTGCAAATTGTGCTAATTTATATATAATTGCAATTTAATGTCCTAATGATGACTGCAATCAAAGAACTACTTTAATGATACAGCCTCTGGCCTGATATTTTTGAGCAGCTGAATCATAAATTGCGAGTTTTTGTTTGATAAATATATGATCTTGCTGCAGACCTAATTATCATGACACATTCCCATTTTGGAAATTAGGGTTGGCTAAAATACATACAAACATACATATACACACACACACTATACATATATACAGTGAGGAACAGAAGTATTTGAACACCCTACAATTTTGCAAGTTCTCCCACTTAGAAATCATGGAGGGGTCTGAAATTCGCATTGTAGGTGCATTCCCACTCTGAGAGACAGAATTAAAAAAAAAAATTCAGGAAATCACATTGTATGGTTTTTAAAGAATGTATTTGTCTTGCACTGCTGAACATAAGTATTTGAACACCTAAGAAACAGCAAGAATTCTGGCTCTCAAAGACCTGTTACTGTGCCTTTAAAAAGTCCACCTCTACTCCACTCATTAATCTAACTTAGTAGCACCTGTCTGAGCTCTTTAAAGACACCTGTCCACCCCACAGTCAGTCAGATGCCAACTACTACCATGGGCAAGACCAAAGAGCTGTCAAAAGACACCAGACACAAAATTGTGGACCTCCACAAGGCTGGAAAGGCTATGGGGCAATTGCCAAGCAGCTTGGTGAAAATAGATCAACTGTTGGAGCAATTGTT